CAGTAGCACGATAACAGCTAAGAACTCTAAGACAATTTAATGAAATTATAGCAGCTTCCTTAGAATAGCTGTTTTCCAGTAACCCAGAAAGTCTGTTTGGCACAGTGCCACCCCAAAGGGTCTGCCTCACCATGTTCAGGCAGATTATGGCTTGGTTTGGTTTTTTGCTCTTTTGTTTTTAATGGGAAGAAAAGAGATCCACTCCCAGAGCTATCTGATTATCTTTTCTGTTCCATTTTCTGCTAACATTTTATTTTCTTTACCTTCTGTTCTTCCTGGTGGTACCGTTCAAATCCCCAGTCACCACAGGCTTTGCAGGAAGGTGCAGTTACATCGGTTTGCAGTCCAGGCATCACAGCTCTGCAGCTCTCAACCTTGCCCAGCGTCTCGCTGAGTGCCCCTGCCTCAGCCCTGACAGGCTCGGAGCCGGGGAAAACCCGTTCTGTGTTGGTACACTACCACCTAGTGGCAAGTACTGCTCCCACCCAGGCTTCAGTGTGGGACATTCCCCATAGCGCACTAGGCTCTCGGCCACCTGAACTTTTATCTCACGGTTTCAGGATTAAGTCCTGAGAAATACCATTGCTTATGCAGCACTTTTGGGCCCCTGAGACTGCTCTCTCACTAAGCCACCGTGAACATTTGATTCTCACCCTCCCTTTTTTTGCAAATTGGCTGTCCACCCAGCAGTGAGCTCTGCCCAAACCATCAGTGCTTCCATTAGGGACCTGCAGCACACAGGGCAAAATCTGTGTGAGCAGAGGTGTTTAAGTACTACCTCAGTACTGTGTGAGGTACTGCGTCTTGCTGTCTGGAGCTCAGCTCTCCCTCCCCAAGGTTAAGCAGGCAGCTGGGCTGGTGATTGTCAACATGGATCCAATGTTTCAAAGTAGCTCCGGCTCCTTCGGGCAAACTCCAGCTGGAGCAATAGGCTTCCCAGACAGACACCCTGTGCCTGCCCTCAGGAGCAGGACCCTTCAGCCCCTGGCTCAAAATCACCACCACCCAGCTTCAGAGAGCAAAAGCAGACAGTAGGAAACACCTTCAGCTGAAGGAGGACTCTTTATCTAACACAATACTCTCAAAAGCAGTTCTGCTTTTCTTCTCAGGCCTTGCTCCAGAAGGTGTGCAAAACATATTAAGCCAAAAACACAGTGACATTTAAAACATTATCAGTTTTTGAAGATCTGAGAATGCTATGCCATACTCTGATGCTATGCAGGCCCTGAGAAACCAGAGAACAGGGGGTGAATAAAAACACCCTTCCAAAACACACAAGTCAAGACCATCCCACAAAAACCAAGGGTTGCAGTAAGACAAAGTATTCACACTGGTTGATCAGTGTGAATATGCAGTTGCAGAGCAGCCAAATTTGGTTTTTGTTTGCTAGTTAGCAGATTTTAAAATTGAAATGCAGATGCGTTAACTCTCCCACCGGCTAAAGTATGTAGTGAAAACATACAATAGTGCAGAGCTCTAACCTCAGCATTCCTTGGAAGGAAAGTAGAGAATTCTTTGCAGAAGCCCTTGACATTTTGTTTTGGCTGATTTTGCAAGTTGGCAATTTCTCTTCATGGCTTTATCCAAGGATCACTGCCACTGCTTGGGGATTGTAGTGAAGTATGAGACAATTATTGTTTAGCAGCTCTCTATGTAAAATATTTCTAAAACTGATGGACTGCCTTTTGACCATATAGGAAGGGTTCCATTTGTGGAACCCTTTACGAAGGTGAATCCTTTTCCAAATCCCAGAGTTTGGTTGCACAGAAGTGGAGGAAAAGAGAAACAGCATTTTACATTTGAAATTCTGTATTGACCTTATTTACAGTGCATTCTAAACACATTAACAGGTAGCTTTCTCTGTCACTTATGATGGATTAAGTCAAATTACTTTGAATTCTAGATTGAACCTATTATTTATGTCTTTGTGTATGTTATCTTTTAAGCCTTTTGTTCTTCTTCTCATAGAACTCTTCCATTAACTTCCCTGTCATGCTTATGTCATTTTTACTGTTGCATTCAGGTAATCTCACAATGCTTAGCCTTGCCTAGTAGGAAAACCATGTCGGCAGACCTTCAGATGAAGCAGAAAACATTGGTTGCAGAGATGTGTTAACCCCCTTCCACTTTGTCCTACAGGATCAGACCACAACACCCAGCCTCTCTTCTGAAACCTTCCCCTTTTTCTGTCCAGACACTCCTTCCAGGCAGCCATATCACCATTCAAGTCCATAATTAGTGCGGCTAAACTTGTCGTTCAAACCTGTTAACCTCTTTCTTTGGCAACTCATCTACTTGCTGATCCAGATGCCTCTTCCTCTGAGTCATCCAAACTGTCATGATTCTTCCTCTTAACATCCTCAACTTTAACCTTCTCCTGTTGTCTCCAGTACCGATTTCTTGTCCTTTCTTCAAAAACTTTTACAGTCTAGCTCCACCCTAGCAAAAGGGTAGATTTGCTACTTCTCTTATGGCACTCTCACAGTGCCTCCTATGTTACCTCCAAAAAACCTTCCTCTTGCAAGTCACTACAGAGGGTTTAGTATAGCGGGTACACTACGCAGAGTTCCTCTTTGAAAGCATGCCCTTGCCTAACGCAGCCTGGTAGCTCTAGCACGATAACAGAGGTAAGCAGTGAGGTCTATGTACTAAAAGCTCTTTATGGGCAGCAAATATATGATGACAAAGCATTTTCCCAATCTTTGCTTTCGAGAAGGGTTGTGAAGAGTTCCACTTGTTTAAAAATGCAAGTGGGCTCGGAATTTCCATCATCTGCTCTTCCTTCATCTCCATAAATCTGGCTTTAACCCTCATTTAAGATGCCTTAATGAACAGCTCACACACAGGAGTAAAAAGTCTCACAGTGTGGTGTGAGGAACTTGGTGACTTACTGAGTGGGCAGCAGAGCTGTGACCCGCTACTGTCACTGCCAGTGAAGCAGCAAATGTGGTCAGACCTACACAGCCTTTCTTCTCACCCATCTCCCCACATTAGACCAAGGCTGTATGTGCCCCAGTTCCGTCAAATGACAATTCTGTAGATGTTCTGATACTAATGGTCTAAAGCTGATCCTGACAGCAAAACCATGAGGTGAGAAGCTATTATCTCCTCTATTTTAAAGCAAAAAAAGTGAGCAAGCCATACTGTCTTTCTGTCATAAGACTGCCAACAGAAAAGGTTTGAACATAAAGCCTTGTGTCCAAACTTGGAATATGGGATGTTCTGTGCTCCCTTCCATGTCTGATTTACACAAGAACTGAGGCATATTTCTAATATTTCTGAATCTACCCATTATTTCTTCTTAGGCCTGTTGAAGTTCTACCATGCACAGCTTGCAGTCCTGCAGACTATTCAAGCAGAATGTGCACCCACAGAAGCAGAGACATCAGGCAGACCCCTCTACCAACCCCCAGCAAGTGCTACAAAACTTCAATGAACTCCATAACCCCCTCACCTCTCACTCTAACAGGCACTAACCACCAAACCTCTCACCTTTCCTGCTCTCTAACAACCTCTGCTCAGTAGCTGCCAAAGACTCTTTTAAATGCAGACTGGCTGCTTCTGATCTACAGTGAAGTATGTTACTTCTATTTCACACCTGTGCTTAAAACAAATTCCCCCCAGCTGTTTGCTGTAATAAATCACAGCTTCACACTAATCTGACTTCTTTCAAACAACAGGGATGTCAGCAATTTCATTTCTGTATCAGATCAGTCTGTTCATTGAGTTCTTCAGCCAAAAGCAGCAAAGACAACTTGTTGGAGTTTTACAAAACCAGTCAGCTGCCAGTGAGACTTTGAAGAGAGGAGGCGTCTGGCACAAGCTTCCTGATGTTAGACTAGGGAGAAAGAGCTGATGGTTGCTGGGTAGGTGAAAACCTGCAGGTGTTGGGGCTGTGTAAGGCTGATTGTACATTGATGCTCATTTCTTAAGAAGGTAGAAAAGGTAATTCAAAGTGCTGTCAGCAAGTCTGGGTGCAGTGTTGAAGTGGCTGTGCTCCCACAGGGACTGGCTGAGGATAGGCTTCCATGGATGCCTCTTAGGAAAAAAAGAAAGACTTGTGGTATCAGCATCATGTTTGCTACTTGATGCTTCAGATATTTTACCTAGTGGTAATGGGACTGATTAATAACAGGATTTAAGATATTCTATTTGTGTTTCCTATATCAAAGACTGCAGAGTCAATATTGTAAGAGTTTTCCCAGTAAAAATACGTTTGAGCTTGAGGCTTAAATTTACTCCAGTGTTTACATTGATCTCCACTTTTCATGCGGTTCATTGGAGACACCGGATAAAGCAAGACTGTATCTACAGGGTTTTCTCATATATGACTGTTAGCGCAAGATCTCTCATTCTGCTTTTATGTGTAGAACCTATATGTTTTAACATATTTATTTCAAGGCAGAAGTTCACCCCTCAGGTTTTCTGCGCGCAGTCTAAAGCTCTGGTAAAATATGAGCCTTGTCACAAAAGAGAATGAGACCCAGCTGCAAAGTTTCAAATTTCAGCCCCTCTCCGCTTCCTAAACTCCACTTTCCTCTTTGGATGCTGTAAAAACCCAGCTGGTTTGTTCTTGGAGAAAGCTCTGTTTTGCTCTCAGCAGCTCATATTAGATGCCAATTTAAGACCTTTGGGCTTCAAAACAGTGACCTTGTCTTCCACTTAACTATTGAAGAGTGAATGACTGTCAAAAAATGAAGTGAAAGGAATTGAAATACACTGCTAACAAGTGACATCTATTTGTGTTAGGAGACAGCTCCAGCAAGCAGGATGTAAACTCCATATCGGCTTCCTGTGCTGGAAAGAAATATCCATTTTAGAGAAGGGGATGAATTTCAAATTTGCAGTTCGTCAGAATTTTACCTTCTTTTGCCAAATTTTCATTCCCAACTGAGAGGCCATGCAGGCTTCAGGAAAAGAAAATACCTGGTACTGTTCTGAGGTTTAGTACCTCTAACAGCGTACAACAGCCCTGTATTAACACGGTTGAGATTCGTTCATTATTTTTCAAGTTGGCTTTATTCTGCTAAGAAAAGAATCTGTACTATCAGCTGAGAGCCTTCACAACTCATCCATCATGCTGTGCTTGCCAACACAAAATTACTCAACATCCTGTTTGCAGCACAAAAGCAAGCAGAACTCAGGAAAAAAAGTAACACCTTATTTACAAAAAACAACAACAAAAAAAAGGCAAAACACAAAAGCCTTAACATGTCTGTTTGTGGAAACAACATCCAAACCAAACACTGAATTGTCTTTCACATTTTTTACACTGCATTCTCCAGTTGAATGTGTGAAGTTTGACGCAAATATTAGGGAAAACCCATGTTGCGAATACTAAGCAGTACTTTACTTGCAAAGTTGTTCTTCAGCACTGCACTCAAGTAATTCATGCTTTTAAATCAGAGCAGAAAAAAAAACCCAACCAACCAACTTGCAACCAAAGAAAAACCCATGCATGTCTAGGAATCAACAAGTTTCAAATGCATTACTGAATTCTACACATCAGACTACTCCTAAACTGACTGATCATACTGGTTGGAAAATAACTTCAAATTATAAATACACTGGTGCTGTTTGCAAACTGGTAATAGATGATTTGACAAGAAGCTGACTTTTAATTTCCTGAGTTTATGAATCACTACTACAAGTAAGTTTTTGGTCTGTGATCACAGAAAGATCTTAAGCAAGAAGACTCAATATATTGCCCACCATAAGCTTTTGGATAAACCCCGGAGAACAGATCAACACGATTGCAATCAGATTATTTCTGATCTTGTGCCACTAGATGGTGTCCAGTTACATGAGCTGTAACCACACCTGCATTAATCAAAATACAGCCTTCTGAACTGCTGAATGCTCACTCTTACAGCTTTTGCTGACATTTTGGGAAAGCTATTTTCCAGGGGGATTTGGCTTTTTAAGTCATACTTTTGATCTCTGTATAGTCCTTTAAACGGGGAATGATAAAGTCTTTGATGTGGATTCTTGCATAAACAGAAGCAATGAACTACAGAGCACCTAACTGCAACCAAAGAAATGTGAGCCAGAGTTGAAGTAATGCAAAATATCCTCTCTAAAAGTTGGAGGGAGGGTGGAGGGAACAGAAAAGAGAAATGAAAAGGGGAGTCCAGAGAGCAAACACTAATACCACTGTCCAACTGAGCAAGAAAAAGAGATTATAAACAACAGTCTGAAAACAAACTAAATCCTTCCTGTGTGCTGTGGAGCTTGGTATGTGGTCTTTCACCTCTCATTTGAGAGCTACTGTAGAACCATACTGTTATGAGGCAAACTGCAAGAGAAAGAAAGGCTATGACAGCAGTAAAGAAATAGGGGATCCAGACACGAATGTGTACTGGAAGCGCGTTTTCTCCTTCGCCTTTATTCTGCTTTTACCCCTATAACTAAACGCAAGGACAAACGGAAAACTTAGTTACTGCAATGTTTCACGCTGCTCCCAGCTCATCTAATAAATAAGGCACCAGGGGGCCTCAGTAATTCACTAGCAAGAAACCCAGGGCACATTAACTCTTTACTTGCCGAGTTAGTACACTTAAGTTTTCATTTAGCAAGACTGAAAACAGCTTCTGCAAGGCAAGAGAGGAAGGAGCAATAGAAAAGGAGCATTAAAGCGCATTTATCCAGAGATTTGCAGTGAAATGACTAGAAAATGTGGCTTGAACTCACTGTTTGCATAGCAAGTCTCTGAAAGCATGGTTTCATTGTGGAAAAGCAGCAAACCCCTTTACTTACCAGTATCACAGTGGGGGATGGGGTGATTTAAAACTAAATATAAGAATTCATTTGAGACCTTTTGATCAGCTCTAGTGATTGGTAATGAGAGATTTGAGAGCTACCTATGCTGTTCATGGAGAAAGCCAACCCAGTGATGGAACTCAAGAATTCAGGACTGTTTAGCTGCAATTTAAGAGAATTCTCTTTTTCAGCTTCTCCTCAGAATGACACCTGCACATACAATTGGACTCTTACTCCATAAGAGTGTTAGAAACCAGTGTGTCCATCACAGGCAGACATCACTGATGTCAGTCAGGTTACATGTAGTCTTTGTAACTGCTAGCTTAATTAAACCATTCAAGTCCCATTTTCTATGGGATTACCTTCATTTTACTTTTTTGTTTCCCCACCCCTTTCCCCCACAAACCCCACTACAATTACAGATATCTGAGTTGCCGTAAGGGGACTGCACAGCAAAATAATAAGGCTCTGGGTTCCAGACAATTACAAGCAGCCTAAAAAAAAGTCTCTGACACTCAATCCATTTTCCCTGTGAAGCAGCTGCAGCTGGATGCATCTTGGAGCTCCAGGCAGCACACAGATCCAACATACAAAGCACAAAAGATCATTCTCTTGCACAGCTTTGGGAAGCCTCTCACGGAAATAGAGAAGTACCTACCAAAACTATTTGTGAAGCCTCTTCCTTTGGAATTAGTGATTTACCTAGCCTCCTGAAATGCTGAATTGGAAATTACTGTAACTTAAGTGATACTGGGCAATTTTGTGTTAAGATAATGATACCAGATCCATATGCAATGCTATGGTTAACTTTAAAATGATAAACTGTGCAGTTAGGTGGCTAAACATTGGTAGTTAGATGGTTTAAAACACTGTGTTATGCAACTTATTGATATACCTTGGCATCAAGTATTAAATTCTGTGACTTGCCTGAAAGTATATTGTACTCAGCTGTATTTGCTGCTGAATACTTTGGTATCCTGTGATTGGACTGTCTTTTAAATATCTCATGAGCTCATGAAAGCACTGACAACTCAGAGTGGCGCTAATGCAGAACCTGAAATACAGACAGATACAGAAACTAAGAGATCTCATAGCTTTCTGTGACACACAACTAGTTTCACATTCTCCAAACCCATTATTGTATTTCAGACTTATATTAGAACCATTATTTTGTTTGTATTATGCCTTGTTAGTAACTGAAGTAACAAAATCTTTAATTTAAACGTGTTCCAGAAGGCTCCCTTTCCTATGACAGCATCTATCATGACTTCAGTATAATATAAATGAGTTAAATGAGGGTTCTTCTTGCCCTACTGATCTTCTGAGATAATACTTAGCCTCATCCCATCCTCCTACACCTCCTCCTACCCATTTGCAGCACATGTATCTTTGCAGATAAGTCTGAGGGCTGCACTCCTGAACTTCATGGTTTAAGACTACAGTCTGATAGGTAGCAGAGCTGCTGACATGATTCCTATGTTAATAATCTTTCTTTTAACCACCTAAAGTTTGGAAATTTTAACATCCCACTAGTGAGTTTGAAGCTGTTGATACCACTTCCTGGCAAATACTTGCAAGCAAACAGTAATTTGTCACAGAAAACCCCTTGACACTGGAACACCACCATGAATCACATGAAAGGAAAGGGGAGCAGACCCAGAAGGGGTCATACCCATCATCACAGGTGCAGCACGGAGACCTTCACACCCCGTTCTGCACACTCAGTCACTGTAAGATCAAAATTTTAGCTGGTGCATATCCTGCTCTATAACTTGAACCTGCCCAGTCCCTAGGCCCCGGCAGAACTTTAAATGAGACATTTCTTTGCCTCATGCCACCCTTCCCTGTGAAGCTCCCTCCAAGCACTCCTGCCCTTCTGTACCCAAAAGCCTTTTGGCTGCATTTTGACAGAAGCCTCCTGTGTTTACACTAGTCCTTCTAAAATTGCAGTTTGGTGGATTAACTCCTCTCAGACATGGAGTATGTATAGAGCACTCTCATTTTCCAGGACTTCTGCCAGTTCCAGGGCTTTCAGTGGAGGGGGGTAGTGGCTCAGGCCCTTGTCTTGGTTTCAGCTGGGGTAGATTTAACTGTTTTTCTTAGCAGCTCGTACAGTGCTGTGTTTTGATTTTAGTATGAGAATAGTATTGATAGCACACTGATGTTTTAGTTATTGCCAAGTAGTGCTTCTGAAGTCAAAGACTTTTCAGTTTCCCATATTCTGCCAGTGAGCAGCTGCTCAAGGAGCTGGGAGGGAACATAGTCAGGACAGCTGACCCGAAGTAGCCAAAGGGGTATTTCCATACCATTGAATGTCATGCTTCTTATGGAAATTGGGAGGAGCTGGCTGGGAGCCATCAATCACTGCTCAGGGACTGGCTGGGCATCAGTCAGCAACTGGTGAGCAATTCTATTGTGCATCACTTAATTTTCTTTGGTTTTATTCCTCCCTCCCTCTCTCTCCTTTTCATTATTATCATTAGTATTACTAATATATTTTGCTTTGTTTTGTTTCAATTCTTAAACCATTCTTATTTCAACCCACAAGTTTTACCTTTTCCCAATTCTCCCCCCCCTCTCCACCGTGGGGATGGCTGGCTGGTACTTAGTTGCTGGCAGGGGTTAAGCCAAAGCACCCCTCCAGAATTGAAAAGAGAACCAACAAATGGCTAAATACCTATTCTGTGTGCTGGAATAAGGCTCCAACAAGACAGAAATACAAAGAGCCATGAAGACTAACCTGCTTTTAGAATGACCAGGGGAAAAGCCTGACACCAACTCTCCCCCCTCAAAGGGAAGCTTAGTGTAAGAAACCAAAGTCTCTATAGACAGCTCTTCTTAAGAACTGCATTCACTATTGACACCCTAAGCATTAAAATAAAAGCCCTGGTCAGGTACCAAGACAATTACATCCATCTATTCGGGACTCACAAGACGATGTCTAGAGTACACATGTGTCATGCCTAAGGGCAGGAAAGATATTCACAAACTGGAGAAGGTCCACTGAAGACCACTAGGATGGTTCGAGGGGTAGACTATGTGTCATATGAGGAAAGGATGAAACAACTGCTGTCTTTTGCTACCTAGAGAAAAGACCTAGTGCCAAACCCTCCACAAAGTGAAAGGAGAAGAAGCAATGTCCACTAATTGCATCAAAGGGAATTCCCATTGGACTTGAGGACTTCCAACACCAAAGTGGTTTGGTACTGAGGGGGAGGTTGTAGCACCTCCATCTTCGGAGATTTCAAAAGTCGAGCAAAGTCCTGAGCAATCTGCTCTTATGTGAAAGTTGTCCTAGCTTTGAGCAGGCCATTGGGCTTGGCACATTCCAGAGGTTCCTTCCAATCTAAATTTCTGTATGGATTTTCTAAGGCGGCAGAAAGTTAAAATAGATTTGGGAAAAAATAGCATCACATTGTTAGCTTTTTTACTTGCTTTTTGCAGTCAGGGTTATTTGGGGTCATGCATAAGAGCTGAGGCTCCAGGAGAAAAAGCTTTTGATAAAAATCTGTGAACACATTCATATTGTGTATTTGTACATGTTGTACATTTGTTGCTCATTAAAACAATGTCTTATGGTATTGCTTTTTTTTATATAAGATTCTTCATTCAAGTAAAAAAATTCAAGTTTAAATTGAAAAAATAAAAAAAAAAAAATTGCATAATCACAGGGACATAAATGTGTCACAGAACTAGAGAACAAAAATGAAACTGTATTTTCTTGCCCCACTAGTAATAAAACACGGTATCAAAACAAAAGTGTAATTTGCAGAGGTTTTCAGACTCTAATGTCATTTCTCACAGGGAGCCAAACTAGCAGACAAACTAAGAAACAATTAGACAAATACAAGTACTGCCAACTGGTAGTCAAAAAGTCTGGATTCCAGGGAACATCCAGAAAGGACTGAGCTTTTGCAGGGAGCACATAAATCTGTGGCAACACCTCTCCTGAGAGAATCAGTTTCCTCCTCTCTGTCTTAATCAATGGGTAACATAAAAAACATCTTTACTGGCAAAGTCCAGACACTCAAGTTCATAAAGTTAATCAGTAAGACCTACCAGGTAAAGGAGTGCAAGTCACAGACAGGTAGGGTAAAGCACACAAAGACCACAGCCATCTAACACTGCTGGAAGTTGCTCCTGCCATGACAGGACATGAACACATCTATCTGGAGAAGATACATCATGCCTATTTCTTTAGGGTCAGGACCAAATATGTTTTCTTTAATTGATACAGAAGCCACATCGGACTTCATACTCTGCCTTACTAGGCTCTAGCAGACATATCGGGATTTAGGCTGAAACAGATATAAAGCAAAATTCTATGTTGTGCAGGTGAAGGTCAGCAGAAAATGTCAGTGTGGCATGTCAGCATGCGTACATTTGAGTTACAAAGCATATAAGCACAAAAGCCAGTTATCACCCCATCAGGCTGTTGTGAAGAAATCAGTGTCAGGGTTGCAGTGTCACTTGGGAGCCAAGATCCTAGAAGGTTACTCTGCCTGGAAGAGAATGAAATTAGCTGTGTGGTTTGCATTTTCCCAAATGCGTATGTCTGAAAGGACAACAGGCTTCTAAGGTAAATTATTAATTACAGTGCAATCACTTAAAAATACATGAGATACATCTGCTCAAAGGTTAATAACCAGTAAGATAGCCTGTAATACAATGCAAGGAGAAAAAAAAATCTCATGCTTACAAATGTGTCAACAGGGACCTTTGGATTCAAGCTGCTGAATTAGGTTTAGCAGCTTGTTAGCAGACTAGTTTTTTGTCCTTGTTTATTATTAAAGAGCCCTGTGACACGCTTTGAAAGCCGTTAATGTGCACAGCAAGTCATAGGTAGAGGATCTAGTCCTGGAAGGGGTGGTGCAAGTGGGGATTAGAAACCATTTGGGGAGTATCAACATGGAAGAGCAGCTGCACCATGAAATGCCATCAGTGGCTCACCAGAGTATTCTGGGGCAGTGTCAGAAATGAGGGAAACGATGCTTGACAGCATGCCCTCCCTCTGGTAGGAAGCTGGATGGACTGCATTTTTACTCTCTTCTGGCTTATCTGCTTGGGTTTCTCATCTGCATAAAGTAGGGAAGAGAGGTAGAAAGAATTTGTGCTCTTGGGTTTTGTCCTTAAACAGAATTGGATCTGGAATCCCACAGTTTATCCCACAGTGCCTGAAGACATTGCTGTAGTCAGTGCAATACTGTGGTAGTACTGGGAAAAGAAGAGACTGGAAAGTTTTCCAAAACCCACTGTAGCTTAACAACTCTGCATCTTGGTCTCCTTCACTCCTTCCCTGTATCATACTGCTGAACTAACTGAGGGCCACAAAAGCACAGTATCACCATCATCATGCTAATTGCTTCCCCCACCTCCCAAACTTCACACACATCTGCAACCACTGTCATAAAATCTTGCCCTTCAGTTGCCTTCCAACACATTTCTCTTTTCTCCATAATACTACACAGCTCCTGGAAAGATTTCCACTGTCATCCCCAATGCTCCTGTGCAAGTTACTGGGTCAGATCCACAGCTGCCACTTGGCATACCCCACAAACATCTGTACACCACCCCATTCTTCTCAAGTTGAAGGCCCTGCACTAAGCAGCTCCTCTATGTGCTTCCTGTGTGTTCCAGACACCCCACTGGGTAGGAAACACTTCCTGCCCAGAGCAAGCAAAACCACCACAAACTGAATGGACTCCGGTGAATACTTAAGACAAAGAAGCTAAAGGCTCAAATATACCATCCTGATTACTTGCAGGAATGGCAGTCTGTCCCCATTCATCAACTCCACAATCCTTCTGGAAAAAGAAGGACATTAAGTTACTACAGTCACATCTGCTTTGCCACAAAGCAGCAGGGAAGCCCACACACTGCATTCAACTGGCAGCTGAGCCTTTTGTTAGTGAAGCAAAGCCCTAGAGTCAACAATATGCACATCGATAGGATACAGTATATTGACCTGTCACCTATAGTGTTGGCATGCTGTCCTAAACTTATCCTAAGATATAGGGCAGATTTCAAGTGGAGTAGAATTTAAACAAAGGAGGTGATTCGACCACATTATGACCAGGCTGCTGCCAAATCCCCAGCTAGGGACTCAGATAGGAACAAAACTTTCTGGAGGTAATATTTAGTTCTTGCAGACTGGCCAAGCAGGGGGCTTCTCACAACTGTATTCTGTATAGCCATGTGAGTTTCACATCCTGCCTTTTTTTTTTAATTAATCCCCAACAAGATATCTAAGCAATACACTATGAAATACTACACAGAAAGGTTTGCATTTAACCATAGGTTCAACTGATGCATTGTGACACTACCACTGAAAGGCCATTATCCTCTAGTATTCATCTGTCATTTTTGATTATATGCCTGCAACTTAAAAATCTAATATGTTGTGACAAAACTGTGCAATTGAAGAACTGCAGAGTAAGCAGTTTCCCAGCTTGGAACAACACTGGACAGGATGCTGTGTTTCAGAAAGCCACACTGAATTTCCACCATGAGGAAAGAGCTCTTTACAGGTTAAAAAGTGAGTAAAGTAGGGGTTTCCAAACACCCTTTGGATGGAAAGATAGCTGAACCACCCCATTAAGTCACCAGGAAGCCAGTGCTACTTTAAG